GTGGATGGTGATGATGATGTGGACGACGGTGATGACAATGTCGATAATGATGACGAAAATGATGACGAAAACGATGAACGTAACGGTGATGGCGATGAAAGTCAAAAGTATAGAGATATTTTAATTAGAATATTGTCATCATAAATTATATATATCCTTTAACGTTTTTATATTACACAGACACAAAAACGTACGTCACGATAAGACCGACATGTCCAATAATGTAGATTTATCATCAAATGAAGCGGGGCCGTCATATACACCTACATACAATCTTATGGAAACCGATGAGCCAGTAAGATCTGATAGTGTCCTTGGATTTGACTCCCTCGCATTAAACGAAGATGGCGATAACGTCGATGGAATAACACCATCGAGGTGAGTTCAAAATAATGTCCTTTGTGTTCGAAAATTTAAAGATTAGTCAGCTATATTAAGTCTTTTATGTATGCAATGTTTGTATAGGTTAAGATTATTCGAACAACATCTTGATCGTGTGACATCTTCGCCAGATTTTGATGGTCAAAGATTATTTACTACTTTAATCCAAGATATCAATAACGAATTGCCGGAAGATCAACGATTCACCACAGAAGAGGCTAAAGCAGCATTAAAGAAGATGGAGGATTTAAATAAGGTTATGTATAGTGGTGAAGTAATTTATGTTATTTGAAGCCTTAAATCTGGAATCCTATGCACATAGACTACTTATTGTGATAGATCAAAATGAAATGTTGCCCTATTGAAATCTATGCGTCTTGATAGAATTTTTTGGGGTGTATTTTTTTAAACGTTTTTGGGGATTGAATTAACGTTAGGATTTAAAGTTAGGATTATTAATAAAAAAAGTATATGCGGACTTTAGTTCTTGATCTTTTGCGATCATGCTTTAAATAAAAATAAAAAAGGTTAGATCTATGTTATATCTATGTTATTTGGTTGAAATTTTTGATCAAAAAAAAAAACTCACCATATATTATACTTATAAATACTTATAAGTCATACAACCACTAAAAGAAAATACAAAAAAAAATTAGTCGAAAATTTATTTTTAAGCTATTTCCTGAAACCTGTATTACTTACTACATTAAACGATTGAATAAAAAAAAAAAAAAAAACTGTAATGCTATGCATATGATTTATTGTTTAGAAACAGACTTTTAATTTAATTTTATACATTATACAGTTAACTCTTCTAAATCCGGACCTGGATAATCCGAACCCTGGAAAAACCGAACACAAAACTTCAGAACATTTGTAAATTTTATTATAAAGTTCAGATAGCAACATAGTAATTAGTGATTTGAATCGGTTGGGCTATAATTGGTTAATTGACCCGAACTGAGTAAATTTCAGTTAACTGGTTGAGGAAATTCTTAATTGGTTGACCCGATACAACCAGTTGAGAATTGGGTAATTGGTTGGTGGAATCAATATAATATGAAAATAATATAAGGAGAGAGTAAAGGGTTTAAAAAGTTTCAAAAAGAAAATAAATGAACATAAAGACAAAACAAAAATTTGAGTAAAGCTTTGAGAATTTCCAATGGTAGTAGATAGTTAATATTAACTGATTGGCAATTGGTTGAATAAAATAATTCAGTTTGGTTAAATTTTTTTTTGGTTAAAATTACTAATAGTAACTCTTTGAAAAAATAAATTTTTTGTTATTTTTATATATAAAAATAGGCTGTTTAGAATAGAGAGGGTTGACTGTAGTATAGAGTTAAACTTTTTAATTTTAAACCAAGAATAGAGGGTAGTGTTCTACAAAAGATTCAGATTTAATTCAAATTTATTATCTATATAAATTTAAAAATCTGGTTAGGTATATCTGATTTGAATTTTTTTTTTTTCAGTATTAAGGTAAGGTTATGCCTTATGTATCATTTATTAATTCTTAAGTTTGTATACTACTATACAACCTTGTTGCTCATTTATGCACCTACTAACCAAATTAATTTTCAAATATGGGGCTCAGACTACGTTATCTGTGACCTAAACCTACCAAAGTATTTTATATCCCATCTCTGTATTACCTGGTTTTTGTGCTTCACAACTAACTAATTCTAGTTACACAACCATATTCTCTCCATGACCTACAATCAAACCTCAGTGACTCCCAATTTGGTTCATTCAGGTGATCGGTCTCTAAAGGTTTCCCAGATTGATGTGCTTGTTAAGAGCCTCTCGTGTACATATTTTAAACCAGGTCCTTGCTGCCTAGTTAGATTCACCACATAACAAAGTTGATACTATCTGACGGATTAGGACTTATCTTGGGTTTGCATCAACTGAGTTATACCGGTTTGTATTCCTTTATTTCTATGAATGCTTAATCCTTTCACTCATTTGCTCAGGTACTACTAACCCGTATTTCAAGCCAGAGACCTGCTGCCACCACCAGTTTGCTATTCACAGGTCTTTTATCGTCCCTTTTTTGGTCTTTCATATGTTTGTGTACTTTTCTATTATATTTGTACTCTATTTTATGATATTCATTAGGAACTTGTTTCATATATGATAACTGATATACTTCCAGCCATTGGCCTTCATTGTATTTATTGTACAACTTTCAACTTGGGGTATCTCAACTCTGGTTAGTGCAGCATTCATACTGATAAATCTTTAACTCTTTTCGTTATAGACTTCTATATAGGTGTAACCAGAGCTTCAATTTGGTATATTTAGTCATATAGAGATAGATATGCCCTCTACATTGAGTAACTTTTTATAGTAGGTTGTTCTGCAGAGCCAAAGGTGCTTTCGATTCCAGTTAAAGTATGATCCTTTATCACAGCCCATAGTCATATATCACCGCTTCTCTTACTATTCCAGTTTTGACTACTATCATATCATTCTTCCAAGCAAGTACTCTGCAAGTTGGATACAAAGATGTTGGTACTGCCTCCAAGTTACCCCAACCAAAAAACTAATTCACGCGATCTTCTGTATAACCTAACTTTCTATGATACCACTGTCACACATAATGCCTACACTTTATAATTTAGTCTCTTTCCAAAAACTCTTTATTTTGGTTTCATACTGTACTTGAACTTCTACAAGGCTTTGCATTTGATTTTATGGCCCCGTAGGTTACAGAAGCAAATTTTATTAAAATTTGACTCAAACCATTGATTTAGTCTGTGGGGTTGGAAGCTTAACTGCTAAACTATGGAACCCAAAACTATATCTAATCTAAATTTATAATAATATTGCACAATATTATATACTGATTAGTTAATCATATATAATTTTGATTGGTTTATTTAAAAAAAGGAATTGAATATAGTATAGATTATTATTTAGGACCTTTATAATAAATAGAGGTGTAACAAATAGAATTATTATACAAAAAATATATATATAAATTCTATAAAGCAATTTTCATTTTTTTCATACCTCTAGATCATATTTTCTATTTTTCTATTACCCCAATTTGGGTCTCATAATATAAAAATAAACTTAAACTCTAAAAATAAAGGCTATATAATTTAAAAAATATCACTTTTTTAAATTATATTTTTTTGTTTTTTTTTTTGGTTTTAAGGTAACCTCTTGATTATCTTCTTTTAATTGATTATTGTTAATTTTTACAGTATAGTGTACCAAACTATGCACATATTGCTATGTATATTAATTATTTAATAGATCGAAAATATATAGTATATACTTATTTTCAAATACTGATTTAGAACTTTAAAACAGGCTTCTATTGAGCTCTTTATCTTGAGATAAATCTGCTAAACTTTTCGTATCCACAATCCAGCTGACTTAGACTTTAGTTAATATGCACAGGCCAAGGCTCACCACTTGCAGCCCAGTTTTTATAGTAAAAGTATTCTCTGGCTGTTTTGTTTTTACTAGTTTTTTTATAACATTTTAACTAACTATAGCCTGATCTCTACTACACAACCTACTTCTACCTTTATAAAGTTCACTCAAACCTTAATATACTTACAAACTATTTACCAGTATCCCCAGCTATCTCAAACTATTAATTTAGATGGACCAGAAGGGTTATGACCTGCTTCTGATTCTTATAATTAAATTTTTTCTTCTAGTTACTCCTTTGGCGGCCTGGTTGGTGAAGTGTTTTGCCAAACACTTTGGTCTCATTTAGTTTTACCAGTTCTTCAAGTAGTAATCTGTATGTAGTACTGTCAAAGAGCTGTGCTATCTTTCTATTCAAGGCTTTTTAAGTAAGCATCCTACCACTATATCAGCTCTGTGATTTTCTGTGATTTCAAGAAACTTATCTTAGATTTTGCACTGACTAAACCAGCTTGTATATTTTTATATAACTTCTTTATTATACAAATATTCCAGAAACTTTCAATTTTTATCTTAATACAACCACAATTACAGGGTTTTGAGTTTTTTCAGTCACAACGATAGTTGCTAAATCTGTTTTTTTAAAATTCAATTTTTGCCTTCTATGAGAATTGAACTTGTACTTAACTGCTTGAGAGTGCAACAACTTCACTACTTCATTAAGTTGCTACACCCTTAAATTATATTTTAAAAATAGAATATATATACTAAAATTTAGAATATGTATTCTAAAAATACTATTAAAAAGGTGTTATATATAGTATATATAATATATTGTGTATAGATTTATTGTAATAATATAGATCAAAAATTAGTATAATGCTAGTTAAAAAAGAAGTAATTTATACTATATTTTAGCTAAAAAAGTTTCAAATATTATATAGCTAATATATTAAGCTAGGAATGTTAAACCAGTTAAAATAGACTGTTTCAGTTCCGAACTGGCAGTGCACTACATAAACCAAATCTAATTAGTTTTTACATAATGATTGGTTACAGAACTAGTTTACTGATAATTTTTTTTGCAATACTGTTTTTTTTTCAGTTCTGATTAATTTACTGACAATCAATTTACCGAATACTCATTACATAGGGTTAGGATTAAGCATTTGATTAGTTGCAAGTATATATTTTTACATGAGCTGTCGGTAAATGATTGTCAGTAAACCTCATAATACGTTGTCATATATAAAAAAATAACTATGTAATATATTATGTGTTTTATGTAATAAATAAACTAGTTCAGCTGATTCAATCTGAATCATAATGGTCTGAGTTTTAAACTCAGTCGAACTAGTTCCAGCCAAACGACTTAACATCCCTATATTAAACACTAAAAATTTATATAACTTAACAAAAAAATATAAACAAAAAAATTCAAACTATATAACAAAATAATAATAATAAGCAATAAATTAATTATTTTATTTATTTTAAATACTATTTCTTAAGGGTAAGATGAAAATGATTTACATTTCAATAGTGATCATATTATTAAAATTTTTACAATAACATTTAATTAAAATCAGGTGATGATCATATATTATTTATATTGTGTAACTTAGTCAAATTTCGATTAAATTAGGAAGAATTAATTATATATTTAAGTATATTTTTTTCGAATATAACAAAAGTTCAAATTCTATTATTAATCGCTAAGTGTAATAGCTAATCATTAATTGCTAAGTATAATTGCTAATTGTTAATCACT